CAGCCTCACCTACCGCACAGGGTGTCTGTTGTGGGGAGGGGAAGGGGAAGGAGTTTGTAAGCCGCTCTGAGACTCCCTTGGGTAGTGAAGGGTGGGGGTATAAAGAAGAAGAAGAGATTGGATTTATACCCCGCCCTTCACTACCCAAAGGGGTGTCAAAGCGACTTACAAACTCCTTTCCCTTCTCCTCCCCACAACAGACACCCTGGGAGGTGAGTGGGGCTGAGAGCTCTGACAGAAACGGCTCTTTTTTCAAGGACAGCTCTTGTCAGAAGGATGGCTTGCCCAAGGTCATCCAGCAGGTGCAAGTGGAGGAGTGGGGAATCAAACCCGGTTCTCCCAGATTAGAGTCCGCGCACTTAACCACTGCACCAAACTGGTGTCCAATCTCTTCTCTTCTTCTGTTCTTCTTCTTCCTCCTTGCAGATCCAGAGGACGGAGCTACAAACCAAGACGCCCCCAAGCCCCCCAAGCTGCCAAGGCAGGTTTTTCGCTGCCTGCAAAGTGTGACAGACTGGCACCTTTGGCCAACCTGACCCGCATTCTGAGCAGAAGTCTCAGAGAACCAGGGGCTGGTGCTGGTCTTAACAGTTCCCTTATCCAGCCGTTGCCCCAGAGGAGCCCTCAGAGAGATAGGGAAGAGGGCTAATTTGTTAAGATGATTGGAGGACAATCACTGAGGGCAGCGGTGTCTGCAGGCTGCAGAGCTGGGCTCTTCAAACAATATAATTCCTGGCTGAGGAAGAGGTAAATGGGGAAAAGACAATTAAGGTCAGGAATGAGGGAAGAAGGTAAAGGACGAAAATGGCAAGCCAGCAGCAGCCACTGCTTGCCACTGGAGAGCTCTGTGTGCATGTGTGCATGTGCGCCTGTGTGTGTGCACACACTTTTTTCTCTCTCCAAAACACATTAGGACTTTTTTTCACTCCCAAGACTTCTAAAAGAAAACCTGGGAAATCAGGATGAAATTAACATAACATCTGGCACAAAAGTGTAGAGCCAGATGTTCCCCGGCCGTAATGCGACAAAATTGTGCTGCATTCCGCACAGGCAACCTTCCACTTTCTGCTCTTGTTCTCTGGGGTTTCTGCTGGAGGACACGTCAGGGTCCCGGGATAACCTGTGTCGGGTCAGAACCGACACGAGGCTTTCAAAAAGGAGCCTCCGCCCTCCTTTGCAAACTGGCTGGGCGGGTGGAGAACGGATCTGTATGACACCCCCAGAGAGGCACAAAAGCTTCCTGGCCCGAAATGCATGCTCTCGCCGAAACATGTCACCCCCCCTCCCCTGATCTGGCTGCCTCAGTTTCCCACGGACCCCAAAGTGAAAGAGGAGGAAAGAGAGGACAGAGGAACAAGTCTCAGCAATGCCCGCAAGATCAATACTCTAGACCAGGGGTGTCAAACATAAGGCCCGGGGGCCGGATCCGGCCCATCCAGAGCTTTTATGTGGCCCGCAAGCATCTAGTGTGAGGGAGGAAACAGGAAGCTGCTCGGGGGGGAGTGGGCAGAGCCACCCCGACTGTGGCTTCAGCATGGCGAAACCTCGTCTGCAGCTATCAAGCAGCGTGAGAGTGTCTGCCCAGTGCTGCGCTGCTGGTTGTCCAGTCCACCCATGCAGGTTTTCCTTTGCACCTCCCTCCCAGCGCATGAGGGCTTGCAGTGAGAATGCACCAACTCAGAGCTTACAAGCTGCTGTAACTCCGGTACCTGCCAACTGCATTTTATGGCACAAATGGCCCGGCCCAACAAAGTGACATTTATGTCAGATCCGGCCCTCATGACAAATGAGTTCGACGCCTCTACTCTAGACTCCTGCTCAGGGGCCCTCCCATCTCGCACCTGCTTGGCCCTGTGCGATTCCAGGGCGTGGTGTGGGGGTTCCCCAACGTGGTGCCCGTGACTGCCATGGTGCTGCCGAAACCCGCCCTGGAGCCTGCCAGGTGCTTTAGAAAGCGGGTGGGGCCATTTGGGGCTTCTTCGGATTGGCTACGGGAGACTTGATTGGCGGTGCAGATTTTTCAAAACGTTGCTTTGGCAGCAGCTGCCACCACAGCGCAAGGATCATCACTGTGGGACTGGAGCGAAGACGTGGCAGCCGTTTTGTGTCCGGCTCTGCCTCCCGCGGCAACGTTTCTTGTGGCAGCCATTTTGTGGCAGCGCCCACCACGCTGTCAGATTTCCAAAGGTGCCCGGCAGCAAAAACAAAAAAAGGCTGGGGACCTGTGGTGTAATGGTTAGCGCTCTGACTCTGGCATCCAAACTTCACACCTCTGTGCCACCTGCTTAGCCTTCCCCTGGAAGGGCTATGGCAGGGGTGGCCGAACTGTGGCTCGGGAGCCACATGCGGCTCTTTCACACATATTGTGTGGCTCCCGGAAGGGCAGCTGGGGAAGCAAAGGGGAGGCATGCTTTTTTCCCCTTCCTTCCTTCCTTCCTTCCTTCCTTCCTTCCTTCCTTCCTTCCTTCCTTCCTTCCTTCCTTCCCTCCCTCCCTCCCTCCCTCCCTCCCTCACTCCCTCCCTCCCATCTATTTGCTTTCTTTGTTTCTCCGTCTCTCTTTCTTTCTTCCCACCTCTTTCGTTCTCTCTTTCCACCTCTCTCTCTCTTTCTCTCTCAGACAAATAAATATCATTAGCAAACCAACAAATACCTTTTGGACAAATAAGTATCATTATCGGTATCTGTTTTTAACCCCTTTTCCTTTGTTTTTGGCAGTTCCGTTTAATGTGAATAAACGGCAAATCTGCATATTCTTTCCAATAAAAACGTGCGTGAGATGTTTGTTCCTGTCTTGCGGCTCTCAAGCAGCTGTTTATTCTGCGTGGCTCTTGCGCTGAGCAAGTCTGGCCACCCCTGGGCTGTGGCTTCATGAAGTCCCAGGTTCGGTCCCCGGAATCTCGGGTAGGCCTTCGGTTCTGAGTCTCAAGGGCCAGTGGTCTGACTTGGCTTAAGGCAACTTCGTACGTCCTACACAGACTCTCACGTTCGCAAGGGTACCGGGCTGCCCTCCCCCAAAACCGTACTTTGATGGCTCCTACAAAGAGGAGCTGTTGATACAGCTGACTCTCAACAACTGTGTATGGGGATCTGGGGCCCCGCTCACTCGCTTCCCAAAGGAGGCTGCTGAGTAGGGTTGGCAATTTCCACCTGGAGATCTCCTGCAAGTACAACCAGGGATCATTTCCTGCAGGAGCGCACAGGAGCGGAGCTCCAGCAGTAAAGAGCCCAGGGGGCGGGCACATGCAACAAGCCCCGCCCCCTGCTCCCAGCAGCCCTCAGTCAGAGCAAGAAGCAGCCAGGTAAGTTGCAGAGTCCTCCCCCCCCCCCCCCGGTCCAAAACAGTCCAGTGGCACCTTTAAGACCAAGTTTTATTCAGGTACAGGCTCTCCCTCCTCTGCGAGGACAGATCTGCACGTCCCCCCCCCCAATAGCTAGCAATCCAAAACAGTCCAGTGGAGCCTGAGCGGTGGGTGTTGCCTTCGGACACACTTCCGGTGACGTCAGGGGGTGTGGCATATGCAAATGAGTTATGCTAATGAGCTCCTGCACCTCTTTTTCTACGAAATGACCCCTGATTACAACTGATTTCCAGACTGTAGAGATCAGGTCTCCTGGAGAAAGTGGCTACTTTGGAGGGTGGACGGTGTGGCATTATGCCTCACTCAGGCCCCCCCCCTCTCCAAACCCCACCACCCGCAGGCTCTGTCCCCAAATCTCCAGGAATCCCCCCCAGAGTTGGCAACCCTACTTTTGAGCCAACGATAACCAAGCTCCCAAGGACCAGGAATGAACGCAGCCTCCAAGGGAAGCAGAAGAAGTCACCAGCATCGCTTTGGGGGCAACGCCTTACCTGCCCTCCTTCCCTGAGGCCCCTGGAAGCAGACCAAAGATCCTCAGATCCCTCACCACCCCCGGCCCATCCAACCCCTGCCACACCGCAGCCCTGCAGCTCCATCTCTCTCACGCCAGCCGTCCCAGGTCTTGGGCACAGAAGGCAGCCTCCCAACTCACCAGGTCTGTCTCTTCCTCCGCCGGCGTGGGAAATTCAGAGAACTCCTGACGGCTCGGCTGCCGGATTTCCAAAGGCTCTGCCGGAGCATCTCCTAGGAGAAGGGTGTCACGCACAAGGACTCAGTAAAACACCTGCCCTGGAAGCCAAGACTTTTCAAGCAGGTTTAATGCCACAAGGGGGATGCACAGGTTCACGGCCTGCACAGGCTGATTTGGGGGGATTGTCTCTTAAGGGGAGCGGTGGCACAGTGGGTATATCCCACTGTCTTAACATCTGAACTGTGTTAGTTCGAGCCCCATGCTGGTGTGAGCAGGTTGGGACTTCCTGGTCGAGATCGGGAAAAGGCGAAAGAACTTCTCGGCTACAAAAATCCTTGCAGTGGATGTCTCCGGCCAGGCGGTGGCAGTGTGGCGATATGACATACGGGTCCTGAAGCCTGGTCAACAAGCAGCCGTTCGGAAAATGACTGAGCCAAGCCAGAAGACGTTTACACCGTGCAGTGACAGCGTATGCAATTAAAAATGAATATATGTTGTCCTCCCTATCCCCAATGAACATTGTTAGTCCCCTGTCTATTGTGTAACTGTACATCGCTTTGAGCCCACTGGGGAAAGCGATTAATAAATTGAAAGTATTATTATTATTAAAATATATATTAAAAAATGTGTATCCTGCCCTTCCACCAAAATATAGAACTCAAGGCAGATGGCAAAATCATGAAAAGATCAGCACGCAGGACAGTTAAGTCGCTTACGGCGACCCTATGAACCAATGACCTCCAAAACATCTTTTAAGACGGGAGGGATTTGTGGTTGGCTACGTTATTTTTGGTTCTCAGTGAAAAATGTTTCTAACTATTCCTGCAAGTGGCCTTGAACCGCAAGGAAAGATGAGATATCGATGTTTCAATAAATAAAAAGAGATAAAAATATCCGACCGTTGACAGCCTGGCTCAGGTCTTGCAAACAGGACCGTGGAAGTCTCCCAGATTGGTGTGGAGCCACTTTAGTGTAGTGGTGAAGTGCGTGGACTCTAATCTGGGAGAACTGGGTTTGATCCCCCACTCCCCACATTTTGCCAATCCAAACCAGGGGTCAGGGTCCCACAACCTGGGGGGCATGCACTACAGTCCCTCACAAGGATGCGTGGTGCACCAGTCCTGGACCACTGGCGCTTCCGTGAGCCCCGTCTCAACAGGCTGCCGCCCACGAGCAACGGAGCGGCCAGGCCGATCCTGCGGGGAAAGGTTCTGTTCTGATGCAGAGCGCGGCAGCTGCCCCAGAACAACAAAAGGCCTCCCTACAAAAATGTTGGTTTCTAAATATTTGGTCGTGTTTTGCCTAAAGGCTGGGAAGCCAGATGGGAAGTAGTGAGTGGCTCTCGCGGGCGTCCGGGGGTGGGAAACAAGCATTCTGCACGGTCGCTCAACCTGCCCCCCCCAACAGTGCCGGGTGCTCCACCCCACACTGCCGTTCCTTCCACCACATTCTGCGCTCTGCAAGACCCCCAGCTCGAGGGTGTCTTCAGAGCAGGGAAAGACCCAGCCTTCCAAAGATACACGGAGGAAGCCAGGGAACGCGGCAGCTACCAGTGCCGCAAACGGCGTGCTTCTCAGAGACAGACGAGGAGTCGGCTGCCAGAAGCCACTTCTGCTGGAATATGGCTGCCAGGCACGGCGAGGGTGGCGCCAGAGACCACCTGTGGCTGCTGATTGAAAAATCAGCCACCCATTTTGACAAAACAATTGATGCTAATTAGTTTATCTTTGATCGTTTGGGAAACTTTCATGAGTGACTCATTTTCCTTTTTCAAGAGGGTTTCTGCTTAAGGGGAAGGGCTCCTACATCCGCGAGGGGAGAAGACCGTATCGCTCCCCCCTCCTCACTGCATCTATAACCACAAACAGGGCTGGTCCCAGGCTTTAAAGGGCCCCCTGGGCAGACAGCGTGTAGGGCCCCTCTGCCCACCACCAGGACCAGTGTTTCCTCTAAGCTGAGTGAGTGTGAGCTGGCTCACAGTTCTTTAGCCTCCAGCTCACAATTTTTGTCCCAGCTCAGGAAGGATGGCTCCAGAGCAAACTAATTTATGCTGTAGCCAAATCACTGGCTCACAACTTTATTTATTTATTTGTTTGTTTATTATTTACATTTTTATCCCGCCCTCTCCGGAGGCTCAGGGCGGCTTACACGGCATATCGCCAAATCATACAATAGAACAATAAAAACATTACAAATATTAAAACACATCACAGTCATAAACAAATTTTGGTGCTCCTCTCCTAAGAACAAGATGGCCATCTCCTAAAACGTCCCATTCTCATCCAAAGTGCCCGCATCATGGTGACTCTGTACAGAAATCATGGGGCGTTGGTGGTACAATGGCGATGGCGGCACCTATTTGAACGCCTGGCGGAAGAGCTCCGTCTTGCAGGCTCTGCGGAACTGTGCTAGATCCCACAGAGCCCTGATCTCCTCTGGGAGCTCGTTCCACCAGATAGGAGCCGCCACCGAAAACGCCCTGTTCCTGGTCATGACGAGTTTGATGACGCGGAGACCTGGCACGTCTAGTAAGTTCTGATTCCCCGACCATAGTGCTCTTGGGGGAACATGTGGGGAAACTTTAATGCCACAGTAGCTCACCGAGTAGAATTTCTGCTCGCAAGACTCCACAGCTTAGAGGGAACACTGACCAGGACCCTGACTCACCCTTCCATTTCTGTCCCTAGTGGCCACATACCCCACATCTGCCTCCACGTCCTTTCCCTGCCTGCCCACAGTCCCTCCCGTCTCCCACGCTCTCCGCCCCCTGCATGCTCTTTCCTCAACGGCACTGGGCACTGTAACAGAGTTTGAGTCCAGTGGCACCCTTAAGGCCAACAGAGCCAGTTTGGTGTAGTGGTTAAGAGTGGCAGACTCTAATCTGGAGAACCGGGTTTGATCCCCTCCACATGCAGCCAGCTGGGTGACCTTGGGCCAGTCACAGTTCTCTCAGAGCTGTTCTCTCAAGAACAGTTCTCTCAGAGCTCTCTCAGCCCTACCTACCTCACAGGATGTCTGTTCTGGGGAGAGGAAGGGAAGGAGATTGTAAGTCACTCCGTGACTCTGAGTGAAGTAAATCCAACTCTTCTTCTTCAAAGTTTAATTCTGGGCATAAGCCTTTGTGTTCACGCACACAAAGCTTATACCCAGAATTAAACTTGGGTGGTCTTAACAGTGCCACTGGACTCAAACTTTGCTTCACTGCTTCAGACCAACATGGCTACCCACCCAAATCCAGTGTTCCCTCTAAGCTGAGTGTGAGCCAGCTCACAGTTTTTTAGCCTCCAGGTCACAGATTTTTGTCTTAGCTCAGGAAGGATGGGGCTCCAGAGCAAACTAATTTACGCAGCAGCCAAAATGCTCGCTCACAACTTTAATGCCAGGAGCTCAGAAAGCAGAATTTTTGCTCACAAGACTCCACAGCTTAGAGGGAGCATTGCCCAAATCTATCTTCACTGGGCCGTGTGTGAGTCTGGAAGGGGCAGTGCTCTGACCGTAAGGAGCACTGCTTGCACCATCCACACACTGTCCTCTGGTAGTGCTCGGTAGGCTCAGGTAGCCAAGAGCACAGGAGATGGAGTTTCCCCCAGTGAATGGGCAAATGAAGAAGAAAAAGAGAAGAGATTGGATTTATACCCCGCTCTTCACTACCCAAAGGTGTCTCAGAGCGGCTTACAATCTCCTTTCCCTTCCCCTCCCCACAACCAGAACTCTGGCTTGCCCAAGGTCATCCAGCAGGTGCGAGTGGAGGAGTGGGGAATCAAACCCGGTTCTCCCAGATTAGAGTCCGCGCACTTAACCACGACACCAAACTGGCTCCCTGATTAGCCAGTGAAGGGCATGCAGGCAAGCAGCAGAGGAGGTGCGCAGGTGGGGTGTGTGTGTGAGTGGGCCCCACCAGAATCCCCAGGCCCTGGCAGACGCCCCACCTCCAGGCCACCAAGAACCAGCCGGGCCCACTCGCGGCCATCCTCACCTAGGGCTGGACCGGGAGCTCAGCCCTTGCTCAAGCCCACTAGGCCTCCAGCGGGCTGCTCGAGACGCAGGCTTGCCTTTGCCAGTGTTTGACAATCACGTCCCAGAGCAGTTTGCAACCTCGCTCCATGTGAATGTGCTGCTCGGAAGCCCAGCAGGGCAGGCTCTTGCCAAGCGTGGCAGCAATCTGTGCACGCGCACACATGAGAATCTGACTCATGCTGGCAGATACTCTCTCCGGCCAGGTTCTGCATTCCCAGAGGCTCAGGGCAGTCTGAATGGCAAAAAAAGCCCCTGTCAGGGATTCCTCTCAAGCTCTCAGCGCTGCATCCGACTTCCACCACCACCACCACCACGCTGCCCGCCACTGCCCCCGCAGTGGAGCTCTTCTTGGCACGCACCACATCAGCCCAGAGACGCCAATCAGGGCCAGACCACTGGCCCTGAGCTCGCTCGTATGAGTCCCAGAGGGGTCCAGGCAGCCCCTCTTGGGAGCACTGCGGACAGCTTGCAAATAAGTGAAGGAGAGGTGGACGGCAGTGGGCCCTGCCAGGAGCCCTGGTCCCTGGCAGCTGCCCCCCCCTCCTGTGGGGACACTGACACCGGCCCTGCTCCGGGACACAAAGTAGACGGCACCTCTCTGCCAGCTCAGAGTCTCCACGTGCCTAGGTATCTTTGCTTAGCATATCGCGGTAACCAGGGGTCATTTCCTGCGGGAGCACACAGGAGCGGAACTCCGGAAGAAAGGTGCCCAGGGGGCGGGCACATGCAACAAGCCCCGCCCCCTGCTCCCAACAGCCCTCAGTCGGGGCACGAGGAGCAAGAAGCAGCCAGGTAAGTTGCAGAGTCCCCCGCCCGCCTTCAGGTACAAGCTCTCCCTCCTCTGTGAGGGCAGATCGGCCCGCTCCCCTCCCCCCCATAGCTAGCAATCCAAAACAGTCCAGTGGCACCTTTAAGACCAAGTTTTATTCAGGTACAAGCTCTCCCTCCTCTGTGAGGACAGATCTGCTCGTTCCCCCCCCCAATAGCTAGGAATCCAAAACAGTCCAGTGGCACCTTTTAAGACCAGGTTTTATTCAGGTACAAGCTCTCCCTCCTCTGCGAGGACAGATCTGCATGTTCCCCTCCCCCCCATAGCTAGCAATCCAAAACAGTCCAGTTGCACCTTTAAGACCAAGTTTTATTCAGGTACAAGCTCTCCCTCCTCTGCGAGGACAGATCTGCACGTCCCCCCCCCCAATAGCTAGCAATCCAAAACAGTCCAGTGGAGCCTGAGCGGTGGGTGTTGCCTTCTGACACACTCCCGGTGATGCCAAGGGGGTGTGGCCTATGCAAATGAGTTATGCTAATGAGTTGTGCTAATGAGCTCCTGCACCTCTTTTCCTACAAAATGACCCCTGGCGGTAACTGATTTCGCCACGCGTTTCATTTGGCAGCCGTTGATATTTCAACTTCGATTCCAGGATCGCTAGGTGAGCTCGAGCCCTGAGTGAGGGATGCCTGTTTCTGCTCTCATTAGGGCCACAGGTGAACCCTCCGGCAGGACCAGGAACCACCTCAGGAAAAGATTTTGCAAGGTCTACAAGCGGGCCCATGCTTGCTCCTTCCAGCCCCAACGTTCTGTCCCATGCAGCAGGTGAGGTACAACTTTAATAACAGGAAGCTTAACGGCTGGATCTATTAGGAAAACCCCTGTAGTGCGATAAAATCTCGATATTACTCCCAACGTCTCAGTTGCTGTTGTTTTAATAGAAGCAACATGGGCATTCCAATTCGATGTTTCACTAAATATTAAACCCAAGTATTTGTAGATCTTACATTGTTCTGTGGGCTTCTGCCAGAGGCTGCCCTGAACACAAGTCAGGAACGGCAGACGAAAGACTGGTGCATCTCTACAGAGCCACCGAGGACGGAGACGCGGTCTAGCCCCCAGCCCAGGCACTCTCCCTGAGGGCCCCCCTTCGCTATCAGAAGTGCCGTCCATTCTGGGGGGGAGCGGAGAAAATACAGAGGTGAACGCCAGACGCTGGGTAGCCCAAAGGGTGCTCACGGGTGCGATGGGTCACCAGGCCTCCCTTGCACACAGCAGACAAAGTCCGCCCACCATAACGCTGGCCTTTACCTAGGCCAGGGATCCCCACCGTGGTGCCTGTGGATTGGGCCCGGTGGAACTTTTGTCTAGGAGGGCTTCTGATTGGCCACTGAAGATTTGATCGGCTGCAGCGTTCCCTCTAAGCTGAGTGTGAGCTAGCTCACAGTTTTTTAGCATCTGGCTCACAGATTTTTGTCTTAGCTCAGGAAGGATGGCTTAGGGTTGCCAAGTCTACTTGCCTTGGAGGCGGGGGAGCCTCGCCGGGCTCCGGGAGCTCTCTGGCGATGCGTGCGCGCGCCACCAGCACGTCACAGGAAGTGACGCGCTACGTCACTCACGTTGGGTGTGTGGCCCCGACCGTCGGAGGGGTTTTCCCTCCGACGATCGGGGCCACGCCCCCAATGTGAGCGACGTGGTTGCGTCACCTCCAGTGACGCAACGACACTGCGGTTCAGGGGGCAGAGTTCCCCCCAGGGCCCAATTCCGTGGCGGCGGAAATCGGGCCTCCAAAGCGGGGGTTTACCCGCCACCCGCCCCCACTTGGCAGCCCTAGGATGGCTCCAGAGCAAACTAATTTATGCAGTAGCCAAAGCGTTCACTCAGAACTTTATTGCCAGTAGCTCACAAAGTAGAATTTTTGCTCACAAGACTCCACAGCTTAGGGGGAACACTGATTGGCTGTGCAGATTTTCTTTTGGAGTTGCTTTGGCATCAGCTGCCACTACATGACAAGGATCTGGCACCGGAAGAAGTGTGCCTCCACACGAAAGCTTACACCCAGAATTACACTTTGTGGGTCTTAAAGGTGCCACTGGACTCAAAGAAGGAACTTCACTGTGTGCCTGAAAGTAATCTGCGGCAGCCATTTTGTGGTTGGCTCCACCTCCTGCGGCAGCCATTTTGTGGCTGGCTCCACCTCCTGCGGCAGCCATTTTGTGGCTGTGCCCACCACACCGTGTCATCATTCCAAAGGTTCCCACAGGCTCAAAGGGGACCCCTGACCTAGGCGGTGTAACTCTCAGAGCTCAGCCGTGCCTCCCTGGGCCATCCACAACCAGATCAGAAAGGCAGGAATGTGGTGCTCAAAAACCAAAGTGAGCCTTCCCTTGCGGAGGCTGGGCTCGCTTGCTCGAGCTCTGCCGTGGGATCAGATGAAGCAGGGCCAGAAGCGGGACACTGTGCAAGCGGGGAAGTCACTCTTCCAGCTCCCAGCTCCCTCTGATGCAAACGCCCCATCGTGGCAGGTCCCCAGCAGCCCCCTTCCCCAGAAGGAGACAGGCCAAAAGAGAGCTCAGGAGAAGCACACACCCCGCGGGCTGGATCGTGCTCCCCAGCACCTCCCAAATATACGGGTTTGGAAACCGTGCCTGCCACATAAACCTTAACGGGCCAATCAGAATAATCCAGAAAGGTAATTCTTTTCTTAAAGATTTCAAGAGATTGAGTCCAGCTCTTTTTTGGAACATTTGGTGTTGTCAAACCAAATTACAATTAATTTCCCCATAAAGCTTTTTGTGTGTCAGAACTTGTCAAGCACGGAGACATTTAATACTTATTGAAAGCGGCAGTTTTGAGAGGGGGTTATTTCCCCCACACACACCCCGTTTTTCTACTGAGACGGCAGAGACAGAGGAGAGGGAGGGGAGGGGAGGGGGCTAAGAAGGGCCGGCCCCAGATACGGGACTGGCCACGATCCACCAGAAGGCCCCACTGCGGTGGCACTTTTTCCTCCCTCTCCCAAAATACTAGAACTCCAGGGCGTCCAATGAAGCCGATGGGCAGGAGATTCAGGACAGACAAAAGGAAATGCTGACATGGCAAGCGATTAAAATGTGGAATTCGCTGCCAGAAGACGTAGTGACAGCCACAGACAGCTTTAAAGGGGGATTAGACAGATTCATGGAGGGCAGGTCTGTGAGCAGCTACTAGCCAGAGTGACTGAGGGGAACCGCCACATTCAGAGGCTGTCAACCTCTGCATCCCAGAGTCAGGGGGCAACATCAGGGGAAGGCTTTGGCCTCTGAGCCCTGCTGTTGGTCCTCCGGAGGAATTGGTCGGCCCCTGCGTGAGACGGGATGCTGGACTAGATGGACCCTCACTGGTCCGATCCAGCAGGGCTCTTCTGATGTTCTTACAAGACCTGCACAGGAAAATATCCCCACGGACAGTGCCCTACATGGGTCACGCCAGCCTGGCTTCACTCTGTCACCTTTACAGGCCTCCCAGCTTATCTCCCTTGCCCCCACGGCAGGGCTGCCCTCAGAGCAAGGGCCTGGGAGACAACAAGCAAGACTGCTGCCCGCATTGCAATAGTGTAATTGGCAAAGTGCATGCTGGCTCTCATGGAAATGCAAGTACAGTAAAGCAGCTCTTCTGGCCCCAGAAGGACAGTGTCAGCAAGCAAGATGAGAAATGGCAACGAATGCACAGCTGACTCCCAGAAGAGTGGCACTGCTGGAAGGCTGAACCCAACTCAGCCGACTGCCCCGGAGGACCCCCCTTTTGCCTGGAGGAGTCTCTCAGGGAGGGAGGGAGGGAGGGAGGGAGCGAGGAAGGGAGGGAGCGAGGAAGGGAGGGAGGGAGGAAGGGAGGGAGGCAGGGAGGGAGGAAGCGAGGGAGGCAGGGAGGGAGGCCCGTAGCTACAGTGGGGCATCTTGGGGCTAGGCCCCCCGACTTGCTGGCAAGGCCCCCTGACTTCCCATCCAGCCCAGAGCATCACGGCCTTCTCCCCTGGATTAATTTGATTAGCCAGTGCCCCCTAAGAAATTTAAATGCCCCCGACTTTAGAAAATCCTGGCTATGGGGCCCCCCTTTCAGCTACCCCAAGTGGGTATCCACCCCTCATCCCAACCTTGCGCGGCTGTCCACCAGGCCTTCTCCCTTCGGCCGCCCTAGCAAAGAGGCACGGGATAAAATCCCCAGCCCCAGAGAGGCGCGTACCAACTCTGCCCTCCACCAACAGAGGCCCGTCAGTCTCATTTGGAGCTCCCCGCAAGGTGAAGTCTTCATAATTAACAAAAGACAGCTTGGGGAGATGGAAGGCCCCCTCCCCTTCCCGCCATCTGATTGTTGGACACCTGCTATTGTCGCGTGATGGACAAGGCTTGGCCTTCCTTCTCCGACACCCCCACTCCCTCTCCCTCCTCCTGCTGCTTGCGGGGAGGCAGAGGGGTCCGGCTAAGACACCCAGGCAGATGGGAGGGGAAATGGGCCCGGGGGGGGGGGCTTGCCTTGAAATTGGCATCTTTCCCTCTTTGGTTCCTAAGAAGCTGCCTAAAGAAGGATCACATGTAGAAGAAGAGAAGTGATTGGATTTATACCCGGGCTTCACTGCCCAAGGGAGTCTCAGAGCGGCTTACAAACTCCTTTCCCTTCCCCTCCCCACAACAGACACCCTCTGAGGTAGGTGGGGCTGAGAGAGCTCCGAGAGAAACGGCTCTTTTCCAAGAACAGCTCTGACAGAACGATGGCTTGCCCAAGGTCGTCCAGCAGGTGCAAGTGGAGGAGTGGGGAATCAAACCTGGTTCTCCAGAGTCCGCGCACTTGACCACTACACCAAACTGGCTCCTGACGTTTTGTCTACTCCACCACCCTTGCAGCGCAGAGGCAACCAGGATGGTGAGAGGGTTTAAATCCAAGTCTTACGAGGAAAGGCTGAAATAGTTGGGTACGTTTAGCCTGGGAAAGAGAAGGCTTAGAGGAGACAGGATTGCAGCCTTCAAGTATTTGAAGGGCTGTCATGTAGAAGATGGAGCGGATCTATTCTCTCTTGCTCCGGATTGCAAGACTAGATCTAAGGGGTGGAAATTACAAGGGAGTCAATACTGGCTAAATATCAGGAGAGACTTCCTAACTGTCAGAGTGGTTGAGCAGTGGAACAGACTGCCTCGGGAAGTGGTGGATGCTCCTTCGCTAGACGTTTTCAAGCGGAGGCTGGACGACTATCTTTCGGTTATGTTGTAGGGCTATCTTTCGGCTCTGCTCCTGCAGAGTGCAGGGGGTTAGACTAGATGACCTGCAAGGTCCCTTCTAACTCTAACATTCTACGATTCTATGAGAGGGACTTCCACCCAGCCGATCGGCAAGGGGGCCGCCCCTTCTGCCAGCCTGCCTGACCCCCAACTGCCTCTCGGCCTCCCCTCCCAGGTCAGACTCCAACAGACACCTGCACGCGCCCAGTGCAGCTGGCAGAAGGGGAAGGAGAGACAACCGGGGCCTTCTCTTGGCCTACGTCGAGCTTTGTTAAAAAGAATAGTCTCGGGACACTTTGGGCCTTCCAACCCACGACCCTTTCAGCAAACGGAGCGCGGATTCGGAGCAATATCTGTCCTGCAGTTTGCCACCTATATCAAACAAAAAGGCACGTTTGGAATCCCTGAAGAACCGACTGAGAGCGAGCCCGCCTGCATCCCACCCAAACCTTGGCCGGGCCCACTCTCCCCCCCCCCGCGCCCCTTTCATCTCCCCGCCTCTCCCGTGTCCCCTCTTCCACAATCAAGCTCCCTGCCCGTGCTGAACAAAACCCTCCTGCGGCTCTGGCTGGCGGGGTGCGCCCCACGGCCACGTTTCCCGATTCAGACGGCGTCCAGCGCCTGACAGGAGATGTCACTTCCCCGCCTGTTGTGGCAGATTGGATTGGAGTAGCGGGGCTGAGGAGAGCCGGCTGCGTGCACGTTACATTAGGCACCAATGACTGCCAGGACGCGAGAGCTAGTTGGGGCTTTGAAGAGCTGCCGCTGGAAATCCCGATGGGTTACTGTGGTAACACGCCGGAGGAAGACAATGGCTGGCGACCGGCGGGCCTGGTTGCGATATGCGGCTCGGGCGGGAAGTTGCCTACGAGAGCCCTCGCTGAAAAGAAAGAGGCTGAAAATACTCGAAGGTTCAAACCGAGAAAGAAAGGAGAGACAATCTCCTCCGGCATGGCTTTCAGTCCTAGATCTGCCTCCCGCAAATGCAGGCAGGAAGTAAGGACAAAGGTCTGCCAGGGACGCTCTGACTCACTCAGGTCACACAAATCCCAGATCGTTAGATCAGAATTGGGCCAATTAGGGGCTGGCTAAGGGAAGGGTGGGCCCAACTCCCTCTTTCAGTAAAGGGCAATTAGCCGCCCAGGAGGGGGAGACGGGCTCACCGCCTCCCCTAAGACATCCTGCCATTCAGCTCACACATCACCCATGCCCCGCTCGCAGAGCAATGATGCGCTCTGCAGTTACGACAAACCTTGATTCACGAGGGAGGAACAATTACGGTTCCTGGTATTAATTTATTCTTATCTGTTTATCGCCTATCCCGGTTGTTTGCGTCCCCTTACCATTGTTACCCCTTTATACTGAAAACGTCACTTTAATAAAAGAAATCTAGAATTATGCAAATTACAGGAAAAAATACATTTCCTCTCTTCATCTGCATAATTCAGACGGCACAAACAAGGACCCCAATCTAGATAAGGAGGGCTGCATGCCGAAGCCCCACGTATCACCTGCTGCATCAGGAATGGGGGAGAGGGCACAAATATCAAACCCACCAAAGTATCTCGACCCGCACGGCATTGCTGTCGGCGGGACAGGCCTCCAAAGGTAGGAACACACGGACATTCTCCTGCAGCTAGCAAATACCCTCTAGTTGCCTGAGCAGGATGCCGGGCTTTTGTGCAATGCTTCCTCTAAGCTGTGGAGTCCTGTGAGCAAAAATTCTACTTGGCAAGCTACTGGCATGAAAGTTGTGAGCCAGCAATTTGGCTACTGCATACATCAGTCTGCCCTGGAGCCGTCCTTCCTGAGCGAAGACAAAAATGTGTGAGCCGGAGGCTAAAAAACTGTGAGCTGGCTCACACTCACTCAGCTTAGAGGGAACACTGCTTTTGTGCAATGTGGAAATCTTTGATAATGTCTGCAAACGGCACTAGGAGAGGCCAGAGGAGGAAAGGAGGTGAAAGTTGCCTGTGAAGGAACCCCCCTTTCCTCCGGGTCGGGAGACGACTGGAGCTGTGGACTACGATTCCTCCTACAGCAATTTTCAGAGAAGGGGTCAGTCAGATCAGAAGCAGAAAGGCCGCTCGGAAGGGATATCTGTATCTGGACTCCAAGGTTTCCCAACGACGTAAACAGGGACCCACCAGCTTGCTACTGATCTAAGGAAAGTCCGGGAACCCCCTCCCTCAAAAAGTGCGAAACCTGATAACAGACACGAAACCGGTACCCTGAGAAGCACAACTTTCCCCTTATATTTTTGTCACGGCAAGTTTTTGCTTTAGTGGCTACAAAGGGAGACACGAAGGTGTGAGAAAGGGCTGGTGCACTTTCATACCACAGCTCAGAGCAGAGGAGAACTTCTGGGAGTGGGAGGAGGGCCTGAGGGTTCCCCTGGTCAGCAGAGGCAGGAAAATATTCAGAGGCCTCCCGGGGCTTGCTTTGCAGAATCAAGCCCGGAATTTAGTTTCACGGGGCAAAATGTGGATTCCTCCTCAGCGCAATGCCGAATGGGCCCGCAGAAGCCAAACACTCCAGACGGACGTCAGAGCACAACCCGGGGGCCCCCGGAAACGCAACGGAAACACTCAAGTGAAAATACCAGCAGATTCCGCGTCGATGGTTGCCTGTGATGCTTGAGGAGTTTCGCTCTTTGGTGCGGGGGCGGGGGCTCCGCGGCCAGCACTCCGGCGCCCCTTTTTGTCCCCAGGCGTGCCACGCCGTCGGCCACTCATCGTTCAGATTCTGTAAAAGCCACAGAGGGCCATCAGGAGACACGCAGTGCGCAGCATGTCCTTTGGCTGCCCGTCACCTCCCGCCCGCTCCATTCCCTTCATGCTTGCCACGCTGCCAATCATGTGCAACCTTTGCTTTAGCAGGGGCTGCGCTTGGACGGCCCCTGCCAGCGTGCCCACACAACCCAGTCCCCCTTCCTTGGCATCTTCCCAACCTCAGTGCCCACTCCTGTCTGCCCGTATCTTGCTGTCCACTTTCACCTGCCTCATGTTTCAGCCCACCCAGACCTTATCCATCTCTGCCTTCACTGCCAGACCTTCACTGTTACACCTATGGCCCAAAAGAACCAGCGTGGTGTAGTGGTTAGGGTCCCGGACTAGGATCTGAAGGACCCAGGTTCAAGTCTCCACTCACCCATGAAGCTTCCTGGGTGGTCTGGGGCCTGCTCTCTCAGCCTAGCCTACCTGGCAGGGCTCTTGTAAGAAGAGAACCAAGCTCCTTAGAGGATACGGCAGGTAGCTAGGAAAGGGACACACAGGCTTGCAGACAGCTGGATGTTTTCTATGCAGCGTTGCCAAGACTGGGTAGCTGGATATTTGGGAAGGCAGAGTTTGGGGACAGGAGAAACCTCAGTGGGGTATAACACCACAGGGTCTACCCTCCAAAGCAGCCATTTTCTTCCGGAGAACTGATCTTTGTCATCTGGAAATCAGTAATAATTCCAGAAGACCTGCAGGCCCCACCTGGAGGTTGGCAACTCTACTCCCGTGACACCTGCTCTCACCCCATGGCAGGCCCTCTTGCAAAGACCCTCCCTTACTTGCCCTATCAGGGATGCCCACAGGGTTGCCAGCCTCCAGGTGGAGCCTGGAGGTCTCTCAGAATGACAACCAATCCCCTGAGGCCCCTCCCCTCCCCAAACTCCGCACTCCCCAGGCTCCACCCCCAAATCTCCAGGAATCCCCCCACCTGGAGATGGCAACCCGAGGCGTTCCCCCATCTCACACCTGAATGTCTGCAGTGGGTCTCCCTCCCCTGGTGACGCCCCCCCCCCGGCTTCTCCCACCTTCTTCGCCCCCAAATTCGCACCTGTCCCCTTCCAACTCAAAGGACTCCGCGCTCCCTTCCGAGGCTCCGCCCACCCATCAACGTTTCCACGGGCAACGGATCAACGGGAACGCTGAGGGGAGGAGCCCGAGCGCCGCCGGCCTGCCAATCGCGTGGCGAGGAACGCAGCGTGGGAGGAGCTTACCCTTCACAGGGGGACGTTAGTGAACAGGAGGCGCGCTCGCTGTGTGATTGACAGCTAAAGTGGGCGAGAGAGAGGGAGGGACTTCCCGCCTCGTGAGTGACGGCTGGAGGGCGTGTGGGGAGGGGGGTTAAGAGCGACGGTTGGTGGGACGTTGGGGGCGGGACGACCAGCACGAGGGAGGCGGGGCCCTGTCAATCACTCCACCGCCTTCCTAACCCAGAGGAGGCCGGGAGGAGAAATAAGATTGAAAGGCAGAGGCGGAATACATCTGTCAGTCATTGAGAGAGCGGCACCTCATTGGGTGGGGCCAGAATAGGCTGCTGAGAGAAAGAAAGAGAGTGATTGAGAGTTTGTTTCCCCTCGCCTATTAACGGTCGTCCTACCCCAGGTCGAAGCCAGCGTTTCCTCCCTGGCTCCCTTGCCTGCAACTTTAATTAAAGTTGTAATATTAATGATGGGGGTAAGCAACCAGTGTCGTGTCTTAGCATCACTCCCAGCATGCTTTGCGCGATGGTTTCCGCATCACTCCCAGCATGCTTTGCACCATGGCCAACGGTGGCTATGCTGAAGTGGATGAGCTTCAGTCAGACAAGCCTGGTCTTCTTCCTCTATGTGGAGGGAAAGCGGAGCTGATAGGGTTGCCAACTCCAGGTTGGAAAGTTCCTGGAGATATGGGTGGAGTTCCTGGGGCGTGGAGGAGCTCAGTAGGGAAGCAATGCCATAGACGCCACCCTCCAAAGAAGCCATTTTCTCCAGGGGAACTGATCTTTGCTATCTGTCCGTCAGTTGTGATTACAGGAGGTCTCCGGGGCGCACCCGGAGGTTGGCAACACCACCAGTGCCTCAAGTGGGGCAACTGGGCAGAAAAGGGGCAGCTGGTACTCATAGATGGATAGCCAGACTCTGTCCACAGCATGAAATACTTTGGGCTGAGGGCCAAACTCTGGGTTTGGCTGGGCATTTGTGCTCAGCTGTAGGGTTGCCAGCCTCCAGGCGGGGCCTAGATTTCTCCTGGAATTGACAGCATCTTCAGACTACAGAGATCAATTCCCCTGGAGAAAATGGCTGCTTTGGAAGGTGGACTCTATGGCACTCTACGAGGCTGAGGTCCCACCCCAAACCCTGGCCTCCACCCCCCAAATTCTCCAGGAATTTCCCAACCCAGACCTGGCAACCCTATGATGTCTGCAATCCATGACTGCATCTCTGACCCTGTTCTTTAGCGTTAGTGGTCCTATGGCAGAAGGGGACCATCCATTCCCCTCCACCATCACACCACCATTTATCTGAGAGATGTCTCCCTTCCCCTCCCCACGGCTATTAAAAAAGACCAGGCATCCAAGTTGTACTTCTCTCCCCCTCCCCATCAGGTCGAATAATTGGGGGGGGGGCAATCCACATCACCCCTGTCTCCTGGTGCCCTTTAAGGTTACATACATGGTCGGAGAGCCAAGAATGGAGTCTGGCCTTCACCCACCCACCCTGTTCTGTATTTGTGACTGTAATTATTTCATATTTTGGTGTGTGTGTTTCTTTAAATGTTTAGTGTGACTGCAGTAATGTAAGGAGAGTGACAGAGGGAGATAAGCATGATGTGACTGGCTGATGACTGAGAGTGGGAGGAGAGATGTCTCTGAGGGGATTCAGTGTTCATGAAGAGACGAGTGTGGAGAGTTTGTGTGAGAGTCTGTATGACAGAAGAAGCAGTTGGAGTTTAGTTTAGCCTGTGTGGCTATGAGAGAGAAAGTTCAACCTGTGTGGCTATATGAGCAAGAGAGTAGCCTGTGTGGCTATATATGTGCAAGAGAGTTCAGCCTGTGTGGCTAAATATGAGAAAGAGAGTTTAGACTGAGCGTCTAAACCTGTCAGAGTTGAGTTTTGGTGTTTGAGAGACTGTGTGTGACACCAAGCTTTGTCAGTCATATTTTCTTTCTTCAACAACAGTTCAAAAAATACCCAGAAACCTATTTTGTTCTTTTATAAAGAAATCATTATTTGTTTAAACTTATCCCAGCCATCAGAACAGTCCTTCCTCAGGGTCACATAGTCCTCTGAAGCGCCCAGACACTGGGTCATTCTACCAAAATAGAGAGATTTGGAATTTTTAATGCCTGGTGGCAGCAGAAATCTACTAAGTTAAAGAACACAGAGTGTGTTTTAAAGGAGAAGCAGTCTCCCCAGTGAGCAGGATGCCACAGTGACCAAGACCCCTGCCCCTTTTCCCAACTCTTTGCCACAAATACCTAACCCCAATTTTGTATGTCCACTACAGAAAACCATACAGAAGAAAACATGAAGCTAAGGAGTTGCAGAAAGTCTGACAAGAGAAAAGTGCTGCGGATGAGAAGCACGTCTGCATAACACCCACATGAGCCGGGTGAACCGAGAAATGGAAAGCTGACCTAGACTGGTGCAAATCCAACCCCAAGCAAACTTGTAGTAATCAAGTAAACTGAGTCTCAATGGGAAAGGCAAACTACACCTGAATAAATACCATCATTTGTACAATACAGATTACAGAATCGAGGTATATTCGTATGGCATTTCAGTCCAAAGTTCCAATATTGTAGCATAACAATGCAAGAACAGCAGAACAGTCCAACGCTTCCAACTCCACTGTGCACAAGAGAATCACTGAAAAAACTGCTCCAAGGACACATCTGAGTTACTTCACGTGTCCTTAAGCCTTAATGGCCCTAAGAACAATAAATCCTTCTACTGGAGTTTCTACATACATATTTCTGCAGCTAGCCTGAAAGAAAGAAAGCCAACCCTGACCAGATTTGCTTTCGGTTTTTGCTACTTGGCTGGCAACCTCGGAGATATTGGATGGATGGTGCTGTAAATTAGAGTTGCCAACCTCCAGCTGGGGCCTCACGATCTCCTGGAATTACGACTGACCTCCAAAGACTCCAGAGATCACTTCCCCTGGAGGAAATGGATGCTTTGGAGGGTAGAATCTATGGCAGCGGTGTCAAACATGTGGCCTGGGGGCTGGATCAGGCCCCCAGAGGGCTTCTATTGGGCCCGGAGTGGAACTGGCTATCTTCTACTTCTTCCAGTTCTGCTGCTGCTGCATCATTGTAGGTTTGCAGTTTACAGATACACACCTGAACAGCCTACTAAAGATTGCAACAGCACAGACATTTTGAGGCAATAATTCAGAGCAAGAGGTGTCAGTTATCAGACATTGTTAAATAAACAAAATATTGCAAGAGTGCTAATGTTTTAAGCATGTTTTTATTTTAAGTAAAAAAAAACCCTTTGTGTTTGTGTCCTTTATAAAGTTTCTATCTCTGCTACCTGGCATTACATTTTATGACACACGTGGCCCCGCCCGACAAGGTCTCATTTATGTCAGATCCGACCCCCATAACAAATTAGTTCGACACCCCTGATCTATGGCGTTATATCCCATTGGGGTTCCTTCCCCCCCCCCAAATCCCACCCTCTCAAGGCTCCACCCCCCAAATCTCCAGAATTTCCCAACCCAAGTTGGCAACCATAGCTGTAAAGCTGGTGTTGCTCGTAAGCTTGCTCCTGCATCCCCACAATAGCTGTTCGAACTGGACATTTAAGCCAGTTATTGCAAGGAAAGTGCAGGCCTCCAAGGGAAATTGCTCGTAGAAAAAAAGAGCCAGTCAGAAAGCACCAGAACCAGGCTCCTGGGCCTGGTCTATTTCCTGGCATCGCCAGTGGGCTCATTTTCTACCCCTGGTTCCGTCTTGTGGCTGGTGATCCGTTCGA